TTACGCGTGTTCTCCAAGAGTGTTGGTGGGCGATTGATCAGGCTGACATCGACCGTCTGATTGATTCAGTCCCACGCCGGCTGGCTGCAGTCAAAAAAGCTAGGAGTTGGTACACTAAGTATTAACAATGGGAACCAGGGCTACAAGATGTACTAGCTGGGTTTTTACCTTGATTTATGTATGTTAAGTTATGATTTGTTAAGTCAGAAGTACCAGCGCTGGGTAATTTGAGTGGTTGGGGATTCAGGATGGGATGGTAACAGACTTTTGGAACCCCACTTTAGTGCTTGGCTGTACCGCGCTAGCGATACTAGCCCCGGCGGAGATACAAGTCCTCTGATGGCTTCCTCACCTGCACTGCACCCCTATGCCGGGATCGACATCCTGTAGAGGGCTCTCCATCGCTGAGCTGATCTGTCCAGCTCCTTCATGGTCCAAACGGACTAAAATCATCATTCCATATTTATTTTTTTAATTGATAAAAACTTTTTTTCTCCAACTCAAGTGCAAGATTGTCAGTATCTTTGGACATTGCTTGTTGTGAATCCTTTGGCTTCACCGAACCTCACCCCGTTGTCAAAGCTATAACCTTCAGGAGTCCCTTTCAGAAGTTGGGGCTTGAGATTCGTCACACAAGGAAAGGGGCCATTTGAACCCCGCACCGGGAGCAGTTGAGGCGATGGTTGCAGACCGGCCGTAACCGCTACATCCCATCGTACCAGCTCCCGGCCCGGGTGCCTACCACGCTATAAGGCTACGGTGAAACGGCTCTTGTTGAACTGAGTGTGTTCCTTGGCACCAAGATTCACGGACTGAGCACTGATGTTCAATGCGATACTCTCAGTCAACACAGATCCATCACAATGACGCAGTTCCTGACATAAACGTCATATCATGACACACTGTCTCTATATAAGGGGGTAATTCCCCTGGGAGGATTAGAGAGGACAATTTGTTCCAAGAAGGAGAAAGGGATTCTGAGGCACCCTAACCCACGATCTTGATCCTTCATTTGTGTGGTCACTCTGGAATCGTGACTCTAATTCAAGCTTCATTTCATACCTCAATCTGTTCAATACCATTTGGTTGATCTAAGCTTACTTGAGCATGTAACTGTTGGCTGCCCAACAGCTCTTACCCGAGCAATCCACTACCTCGGGTGGGCTTCTTTACTTCGGCCTAAGAAGATTGTTATTACCGAGGAAGATCTACGCTGTCGCGTTCAGTGGTGCCAAGAACAGTTACGGCTACAGCCCCGACCCGAAGACCGGGAAGATGTGCTTTTTCTGGCGAGACCTGGGTAGTTAACAACTCGATGTGGAACAAACGAGTCCTGATGGACAAGACCGATGACCTGACCAAATACACCTTGAAGAAACGGAAGCCAAAAGGCTGGATGTTCTGGTGTTCGTTTACCGGCTGTCGGAAGAAGCCGTTTTGTATAGGGAAAGGAGTACGGGGGTATCTGTGCCGACAATAATATTCGACATCTTCCCGTTGCTCGACCGCTTCTATCAGGAACATATCCAAGAACACAACTACTGCATTGTCTTCAACAAAGATAATACTTCGGCACACAGGGCACTTGCCACCACTGTTAGACTTCGAGAATTAGGTATTGAGGTCCTACGATGGCCACTCAAAAGCCTAGATCATGCACCCATTGAGAATGTATTGCCCTGCTTGAAGGATTGGATTGAGTGCCAGCCAGAAGAGGATATCCAGGCTCTCAATCCTCCACAGTTAAGAGCGCGCTTGATGAAGGGTCGTGTTGGAAAACCAACAGCCACGATTCCATGGTGATCACACAGATGATGGGAGCTTACAACAGTCAGATTTGAGATGCTCGGAGCATCCCAGATGTTCTTGATTGAAGGTTGTTCTTCTCTCACGTCTCCAGCGAAGGGGGAATCGCCCTGACCTCGTTGCCCAGTGCCCTGGTTACCCCTCACGTTGCCTGACGGTCAGTTGGGCAGCCATGCATCCAACAGCAGCTGAGCGTCCGAAGTTCCAGTGCCACGAATTTCCAACAGGTCGGTTGGCTGTGCTGGAAGATTGGCTGTGCGGTTGGCACATAAAATTAATGCCCAGAGCTGCAGTTGTGCCTGGAAAATGGGGGGCGAACAATATATTACTGATTTCTTAACATTAATGTTAACGTGCATTATAAGCGAGTGAGCCATATAAGCGAGAGTGAGCCACTTTTCACTGCCCTACTACAATTTTGCTCAATTGTAACACACCAACATTAGGAACTAACTACAATTACATTAGAAACAGCTGAATCAGATGATTCCCCAGCCTCCTGGCAAGTGCGTGCATTATGGCCAGGCTTGCCGCACACACCACAGCACCGAACCTTCGTACGTCCCCCCCTTGCACTACCACTATCCAGCTGCATTTCTTGTACTCCCTCACCACCCACGGCCTTCTGGTCCAATAGACCTTGTGCATCTTGTACAGTAAGTGATCCTTCAAGCTGCACTCGGTATTCCAGTTCGCGAGGTGGTACTGCGCAGCCAAGATGAAGGGAGGGATGGCCCAGCCGAGGGCATTGACTCCCTGGATTACCGTTGCCCATTCGCGGTTGCCAGGCTGGGTGAGTTCTGCCTTGCTGAAGCCGTCCGAGGTCGTAACCACCATGCCCGTGAAGATAATGCCCATCATAAACCCCGTCTCGTCGAAGTTGTAGACATCATCATCCACAATACCGTACTTGGCCATAATGTTCCGTACAAGCGCAAACCACTCGGCCATGACGTTTGGATCCTCGCACTTTGCCCACTGGTAGTCGTATCTACGCGTAAAACGCGTACGGAGCTGTGGCTGGCGCTTGGCGAAGTTGTGTGCCCAGAGCTTGCCAACAGAGGGCGCGTCGCGTACGCGTAGCAGTTGGTTGGCCATATCTTCCACACCACGCAATCTTGGTGGAAATGCTCGCGCACATAACTCAATAATGTATCGAACAATGGCGTCCTCCTCTGATTGAGTGAGCTTCTTCGAATTGGGCGTGGTGTCGCGTCGTGCAGGCTTGCCAGCGCGTCGTCGCGAAAGCGTCATACGATCAATGTTGTAGATCTTAGCAGCGGCCCGTACCCTTAGATTTTCGTCATTTTGAAGAGCTTCAAGGGCCAAGTTTACCCTAGCTTCGTATATGGTGGCAGGCATGGTTGGTTGTTGTCGAGTGGTATGTTGGAGGTGGAGGGTCGCGTCGCGTCGAAAAGTGGCTCACTCGCTTATATGGCTCACTCGCTTATAATGTACGTTAACGGTAATTACAGTACCCAATTTATCACGGGTGGTGACAGGCAATACTAGGTGATCTGGTAGTATTGCTAAGATCGCACAAGGAACCAGAACTCTGTGGGCTGTGCGCAGCCGTGGGACAACTGTTGGGCAGCCAACAGTTACATGCTCGAGTAAGCTTAGATCAACCAAATGTTATTGAACAGATTGAGGTATGAAATGAAGCTTGAATTGGAGTCACGATTCCAGAGTGACCACACAAACGAAGGATCAAGATAGTGGGTTAGGGTGTCT